CTGATAAAATGCTGATACATATTCGAATAGGCTTATTTAAAAAAAAAAAGTTAATAAGCTAATTTTCGGTAGACTAAGTGGATGTTCTGCAGACGGATCATCATTATTTACAAAATGTGCGGAACAAATTTTTAGTTATAAAGTTTTTACGAATTAATCTAGCCTGCTGCAGCCATATGTTCTTTGTATCTCTTTAAAAAATTTTGGAGACTAATGACATGTCCATCTACAGTTTTACCTCTGAAATTGCGGCATATACAGCAGTAGTTCGTCTTCCGCGACCGATACCAAGAAACTGCGTTTTTGCTCGATTGTACAAATACAAATACATAACATAACATATCATAACATAGAACTTTTACTTACAAGAACATATTTGGTGATAATTAAAGGCCTATATATTTCATTTGAATTAACAGTGTTTCTAGAATTTTTTATTTGTAAAATAATTGATTCACTATATAGTATTAAAACTTTGAATGGAATTCTAAATTATTTGAATAATTTAATCTCATGTCCTCATGTAACAAAATATATACTAATTAAAATAGCATTGACCTGAATTCGTGTTACATATGTCGTATAAAGTCTGAGCTGCATTTAATCAAAGTTTGAGTGTAGGATCTAAGCATATGTAAATGTATATTCCCGAGTAAAATACATATTTTGTTTAAGATCAGAGAATTGAGTGCAGAAACACGAAATTGATACAATAATTTCCTAGCGTATTTCTCGTTAATTAACGGAAAAGATTCTTTTCTCAAGTGTTATTTATTTTTTAAAAATCCTTTCAGTGTAAGTACATGTATTTATTTTTATAAGTTAATTTTTTTTTTTGCAAAGTTTGTAAAAAACAATATCAGAGAGAGAGAGAGAGAGAGAGAGACTCATGTAACCTCGTGTAACTGACATACATGCATGTGCATTTGTGAAAAAATATACTGAAAGGAAAAAGAAACGCAGGGTAAACTTTTGAGGTGAATTAGATTTGTTTTTCTTAAAATATGTTTTAGTTTTTATATCTAACTTTTAAAATCATCTTTCAAAAAGATGTAACCAAATTTGTCATTTGATTTTGTCTAATAATTCATAATTTAACACAGTTACTGAAGCTCAAATGACGATACCCCCCAAAAGTGAAAATCGAAAACTCTCATTATCTTCAATGTCTCTCCCGTGCATCTGTCAGAGCCTTATTTCTCCTTTGCATGGAATTTCATTAGAGTGTTTATCTTTCAGACCCTGGCTATATTTGGCATGTGTAATCACCCAAAAACATAAGTCAAAGGGCGCGCGCATGCGCCAGTGAGAGGAATAAAACAGTAAGTTGACTGGCTCAAAAGATCAAATTACGGACTTGTTTTCTTTCAAATTTTGTATGAATGTAATGATTATAATCTTGTACTGTATAAATTGCTCTTTTTGTGGTAGTTAGGTGGCGATTTAAGAGATGGCAGGACGAATAACCCGCTCGTAACATGGCTCTGTTTCGCGTTAACGCCATCGTCACGGTTGATTGAAAACCATTCCAGACCCTCTTTGGCAACGGGTAACAAATTTTATGGGGAAAAATTTACAAGAAACTGCTTATTAAACCGTTGCTGCCTTTTTCATTAATTAGGCAATTCGAAAACAAGACCCCAATGAACTTCCGTAAACTGTGTCAAGATTGAAAAATATTCATAATGTCTCTTAATATTGAAAAACGATGTGCATACCTCATATGCATCAAATAATGCAACAAGAATTGTTGACAAACTCGTGTTATCAAATTGCACGTGCTTTGGGCTTTTTAGCGTTTTCCCTACGTGACGTCATAAATTTTACGGTTGAGTAATTCTGAATACTGATTTTGGTGCACAGTGACTAAATTTCTCTTCTGACCAATTTTTGTAATTTTCGGTCATGTGGTCAAAATTTTTCCGAACATTTGGCTACCCTGCGTTTCTTTTTCCTTTCAGTATACATGTACCGTAATTTTATTGAATTCACAATTAATAATTCTGATATTTTTAAATTTTCACATCTATGGTTCATATTCAACTGTTCAACCCATTTTCATATTCGTTCTCTGTACCTGTACGCACGGGTTGGGGGGGGGGGGGGACAAAGGGGCTTAGCCCCACTTCCACTTTTTTCCCAATATGTGTGTTTTTCTATTGAAAATGTTCGTTGAAGAAAATGGTGCCCCCCCCCCCCCCCCCCCCGCCACGCACACACAGTTAATACTACGTTAAAGTTATATAAGGGAAATGTAGTATTGTATGCCAAAAAACTGGTACTGAAATAAGTAGCTTTTTCAACTTTGGGCAAGGTTTTTCTTTGTTTCTTTGCTTCTCAACTTTTCCAGGTAAGAAATAAATATTTCTTTGGCTAAAATCACCCCCCCCCCCCACTTTTAAAGACGATACTACGTGCCTGGCTAATTCGTATAGCCACTTGAAAGGTGGGGGGGGGGGGGCTAACAGACCCTTTATAAAATAATTTATTATAAAAAAAAATGCAAATCGTTTTCTTCTTTTAAAATTTTTAAATACAGCGTGTAAGTTGATCACTATTTTGTTGGATTATCGTATTGCGTAGTCCGCGGAAGTTAGGCTGGTGTAGAAGAGTTCCGATTTTGAGGGGAGATAACTCACTTTTGAAAATGGGGAATAACAGGTGTTCTTAGTACCATTAATACAGTTCTGGAGGAAGATCTATTGAAATGTGTGAATGAGGCCAAGTTTTATGCTTTACTGGCTGATGAGTCCTCAGATGAGAGTCGCAGGGAACAGTTTGCCATATTGGCACGGTTTCGGCGCAATGGAAAAGTTGGCAACCATTATCTAGGACTTATAGAAGTTCAGCAGACTGATGCTGAAAGTCTTATGAAAGAAATTGAGAGATTTCTTCTAGCTAAGGGCATCAACATGGAAAACGCCATGTTTGTGGGATTTGATGGTTGTAATACAATGAGTGGGCAGAACAAAGGTAATGTACAAGAAGTCGAACTGATCACAACAATTTTAATTTTGAAAGTTTTACCATTCCTCAATTATACGATAATAAATTGATTTGATCTAAATTTTCATTTAAAACTTTCAATTTTCTCTTTGTAATCTTTTGTAGGTCTTCAAAGAAGATTCAGACATTTGGTTCAAATCTATATTAATTGTCGAAATCACAAACTAGCTTTGTGTGAAGAACATCTTATCAACACATATCCTGTTATTGACAAGGTAGACAGCGTGCTCATCGGTGTGTGCAAAATGTTCCATTCCTCGCCAAAGAAGTTTGCTCTTTTCAAACAGATTCAGGAATCATATGGAATGAAAAAGTTGACACTTATTCGAGCTGCTGCAACTCGCTGACTCTCCCATGGCAGGGCTTGCATCAAATTGTTGATCGTTATGTGCAGGTAAAAAAAATGTTTTAAAACTAGTTACTCTTAATCAAAAAATGATATTAATTAATTTAATTTATGATTGGCAATGACTGAATGAGCTTGTATTGTCTAAATGTCATTGTGTCAATCATTGACCCTTATTCAAACCAATATTATTCATTCACGCAACAAGTTGCGTGGGGTATAATGTTTTTAACCCGTCCGTCAGTCAGTCAGAGTGTCAGTCAGTCCTGTTTTTTCTTTGTCAGCGCAACTCCTCATAAACCGCTGCACAGAATTTCGTCAAACTTTGCATATGATTAGGACACAATGATTTTTTGGCCATGTCTTGAATATAGATCAACAGTTTGTCAGCGCAACTCCTCTTAAACCGCTGCACAGAATTTCGTCAGACTTAGCAACTATTGAGGACACAAAGTCTAGATGTGCATATTACAAGAAATTCCGTTTCCTTTATTTTTTCCGGGAAATCCACACTAAAAACTTAGAGTTTTTGGCCACACCTTGAATATAGAGATAGATAATAAGTTTGTCATAGCAACTCCTCATAAACCGTGCACAGAATTTCGTCAAACTTTGCAGATATTAGGACACAATCTATAGATGTGCATATTACCAGGAAATTCTTATTCCTTTATTTTTTCCGGGAATTTTCACACTTTTCAACTTTTTTTTGTCCATACCTTGAATATAGAGATAATAAGTTTGTCAGCGCCACTCCCCATAAACCGCTGCACAGAATTTCGTCAAACTTTGCAGATATTTAGGACACAATGTGTAGATGTGCATATTACTGGAAAATTTCGATTCCTTTATTTTTTCCGGGATTTTCATCACTACAAGTCTTGTTGGAGCGTGGGGTATGTGAGCTTGCTAACTTTTACTTTCATTTAGTTTATTTATTGCCCAGGAGCAGAGAAGAAGATTTTCAAAGAAATAATGCATTTTCAGTATATAATCTATTTAGGCCCGCCCTAGCACAAGAAGCCCTGACCCAAGGGCCATGAATTTCAAAATTTTGGTAGAAGACTCAATGCTGATTACAATCATGCAAACAGTTTGACTGCTTGATGTCCAGGAGTAAAGAAGAAGATTTTTAAAGACTGCATTCATTTTAGTGGTTTAGGCCCCACCCCTCAGGCCCCAGGGGGGCAGGGACCATGAAATTCACAATTTTTGTTCCCCTTTGTCCATAGATGCTTTATGCCAAATTTGGTTGAGAGGTTAAAGAGAAGAAGCTGAAAATGTTCAAATGTTAACACACGACGCACACAGCACGACAACGAACGTAAACAGATAGCAAAAAGTCACTGAGTTCACTCAGATGACCTAAAATGGAATATGTTGAAAATAAATTGTCTTCGACTGGAACCTCGCTTGCTGAGAATACATATTGTATATTCGTAGTTTTTTTTTTTATTTTAGTGAAGACATCGGATAACGTTATCATTTTTTATGTCTTTACAATCGGATTAATGACAAAAAGAGGAAGGTGCATGTACTAAAAAACACGATAATTCTCTCATGTGTTTGAAGGCCAAAAAGACAAAGTCAGACCCTCGGCTTATCATTAAACTTTTTAAAACCTTTTTTAGAAGTATAATAATGATCAGGTAAAATTGAGAGTATTGTTTGGTATTTTCAAATGTTTCATAAATACATGATGTGAATTGAGGTTATTACTGGAAGTTTTCCTTGAAAAGTTATGTTTTCAAGGCAAATATTTCAGATTGTTCCGACGTATTTGTCGTAACGACAAGAATATCTTTGTTACTTCCTGATCTTTTGATGCCGGTTATTTGACCAACAGCTGGACAGTTATTGGGTGTCCCAATGATCCAGTTCACGTACAACTCACTTAAGCTAGACTCCCTTAAGCTGATGACGTAATATTTCAAACCAGGATTGACTGCATGAGATTTACATAAGTTTTTAAATGATTTCGAAACGTTCCCATCAGGTGAGGGTGTCACTTCAATTCCAAAAATAAGATTATCACTTCGAGTGCTAGAGGATGTTGATCTTGCCACCATTACGCGGGAAGTGACTGTTGTCGTCATGTTGAATAGATCCTTGAGTTTTATATGTTGTAGAACAGTTCCATCTGTAGGAGAGAGTTTCAGAATTAATCTCTTGTCGGTAGATACGGTCCAAAGCGAGGCATCAATTTCCTCTGATTCTTTTACAGAGCCTAAAGGACGAAAAATTGGTAAATGCATCCATGGACCATTCTTTAGTGCTCCACTGTTATTGACTTGAATAGACCTGCTTGATTCGTACATGGCCAGTCCAGCAACAGCTTGAGGGGTCTTGAATAATAAAGTCGGAGTACTACTTTGAAGATCATCTTTGAATCCCCAGACAACATGGATGGCATTGGAGTTGTCTTGCAGGGGTGGTAAATTAACGTACAACATGTTGGTGTCTGTATTTACTAAAATTTGTGGTTCTACAGAAGTTGTTTCAAAGACTTCTCTTTTGATCTTGGATGTTGCTACGGAAAGTCTTTCAAAGTTGAAATACCATGCAATCTTTAGTTTTCCTGAGAGAACATTGAAAATATCAATGGCATACAGTCTCTGCATGGAAAGAGTTGATTTCTGAAAAGAAAAATATTAAAAAGCCAACTATAACAGAATGATAATAAATATTGAAATGTGTTTTACATCGATAAATAATTATACTTTTCCATCGGGACGAAAAGCTGTCAAAATGTATATCCGGTGCCCGGAAACAACAGGTGGAGCTATTGGTATAAAGGTTCCATTCATCCTCTCTTCCCATCCTCTAAATTCAATGAAAGAATGGGGAACTCCATCTGTGATAATAAATGACTGTAACTTGTATATGCCACATAGTCATAACAATTGTATACATTGCCTTGGACGACGAGTATTTAAAGTGCATGGACTTCATTGTTCTTTTGCTAATCGAACCAGTTAATTTAATTTTGATTGTTTCAATACTCTTATTTTCAAATTATTTGCCATCGTCATTATCAGTTTAATGAGAGGTACTTTATTGGTATCGATATCAACATCAATGTATTATATAAATGCATCTCAGAAAGATGTTTGGTTGTGTGACTTAAGTTAATTAATATGTTTAATTTCTGAGAGTTGAACGTAAATATGTTATGTTGTGTGTTTATCACTTTGAATTAAACGTTATCGTTATTTATTAATTTACCTTTTTTCTGTTTTGGTTTTTTCATGTTAACTAAGAGTGCTTCTTGAATAATTTAGTAGGGAACAACAAATTCAAAAATATAATCATAGGGGCTGAAGTGCACATGTGTAAATATATATATAAAAAAGATTAACTAATTCCTTAAAAGAACTGTGGCTCATAAAAAAATACCTACTAGATTCCACGGTCACCAGCATTCCGAGCTTCGAAACGATGGCAAATATATTGTTGTCAGAAAACGTTATACTGAAATTGATATGCAATGCATTATTTGAACTTAATACCTTGGGTGATTTGTTTATACTGCCAAATACATTAAGACATTTATTACATGTATATACATGTACCCAACTGTGTATCACCCAATTTAACTGTTGAAATTACGCAATCGCGTGACGTGATCCGAATAACCACACTGCTTTTCCACTTGGAGCTCCTCGGGTGGCTCGTACCTCGCACACTAACTCGGACGTAAAAGGTGAGCTACCATCGTGCTCATTCAGTCACGTGATCTGTGAAATCTGAGTTTCTATGTTTATGCTTTCAAAGACTACTAACATGTTGCAGTAACTAAAAGCAATATACAAGGAAGAATTAGACAAGTTAAAGCTTTTCGAATAACTTTACGCAGAGCAAAATATGAAATGAGTGACAAAGCAGTTTCCGGCGGAGAAAAGTATCGACCTGATGCGAATCCCTTCACCTTTCACATCTGAGGTTTGATTGGTGCGTAGCGGAGTCAGCCGAGGATTGCTGAATCCATATCACCACTCTCTGATATTGATGACATGGCACACAGTTTATGTGACGTATTTTTCTTGAGTGTCAAAAATTTTCTTGGTTTGTTTGATATATTACAGATGTACATGTATAATTGCCCACTAACGATTTCTCCATTATATTTAATAATTATAGGTCTAAGGGTGTATAATAAATTTATTATTTTGACAGTAACTTGAACCCAAGAGCCGTATTACGTCTCTTTGAAAGACGCGGATCATTAGATCAAAATCGACGCTTCGTGTCTCGTTTGGTCTGATGATCCGTGCCTGTCATCTCGACGTGATACGACTCTTCGGGTCAAGTTATAATTACTGTCATAAAAATATATATATTTGCATCACAATTTTTCTGCAAACCTAATAGAAATACTTATTATAAATGAAGAAAAACTAAACTGACACTTAAGACATTGTTTCACCATCAAGACACTTTTATCTAATTCAGATTGTAAGTTATCGAATTTGATAATATATCATTGTATAATCACTGATGCAACATATACATGAGCTATGCAGATAAAACTTATACCTGTAAACAGGGGATAGATTTTCCTCGTTAATTACTGGCTTCTCTAAAGTTCCATCTGCTTCGTATTTTACCAATTTGTTACCATCCGTCCCCACAATATCGCCGTAGATGTCCATTATAGGAAGGGTCGGGCGATAAAGAACTTTGTCATACCATACCAGAGAACCGTTCTGAACACTCAAGCTAATGTATCCTCTGGAAAAGGACTTTGTAGATACTGACAACTTTCAGTGTATTAGCTTTAAAAATGTATTGTACAACTGCAATGATTCTTTTTCCATATAGCAATGATGTAATTGTTGATCAAATTAAAGCTTTAAGATACTCTTTTTAGCAGATTTTATTTTTTTTGTGAGGATTGAATTTAGGCTCTTTATTGACGATGGTGTCGAGCTCGATTAAGCTAATAAAAAATTAATATCGCGCAAATTTATTCAATATTTAAGAAAGGGCTATTTTATTTGCCATAATATAAATTACAAAAATTACCTCACACTTGATTTGAAAGAGTTACCTTTTTACGGACAAATTTTAAATTCTCATCTTACTAAAATATTACCTACACGATTCAATGTAATAAAATAATCGACATAATAATCTTTTCACAAAAATAACTTGTACTTAGCATTCAATTGCATGTATAAAACCAGTGCACATACCTATGAGTTTGCCCATCACCCTGACAAACGATCAGTTCCTCGTTCCCCACACACCCTAGCAAATCCTTTGAAGAGCTTTGTTTGAAAGGTTTAGGCCAAGCTAATGATACATTAACTGTTATGTCAAGATCATACGAAAAAGTCCCTGATGGACGACAACCATACATCGGACAACTTTCAACAGGTAAAGAGTAACTTTTCTGAATAAACGATGCCATTAGTAAGGTAAAACTGACAGCCACCATCCTACAAGCAAAACTTATATTGCGGGTGTTGATCAAAAGCATATTCATAACCAAGTATCCCCACGTAATTTATAAAAGTTTGAATACTTTCCACTTGTAGGTGATAACAAAGATATATTTATCTGATATGTCTATCAAGCATACAAACTGTATATGTAGTGACTGTACTTTACAAAACAAAGGGCAAACAGGTAACATCGAAGTCAACAAGCAGCTTTAATTTGAACTTTTTATTTTATCAACTCTTCCTCGGGTTCTCCTCGGCTGCCACTTTTGTTCCCTTCTAACATCTTCTCTGTCGCTTTCCGTGTTCTTGGGTTCATTTTCTCTTCTTTCCTTCTTAAAACCATTGCCCTCCGGAGTAGGATCTTATCTTTTTTCTTGTCCCCTGCCATTGCTCTCGACTGCTCAAATGATATGGTGAAATTATTCCAGAATGATTCTGAGATGTTTAATGTTTTGCTAACATTTTCAATGAAACATATGGAGATAACGAACAGTATTCCAGATCAAAAGTGCATAAAACAACACGAAATAGGAGTAGAGCAAACACGGATCTTCTTTCACTCATGCATGTATAAATCATAAGATGTTGTCCTATATATTAGTGCTGTCTTCCTTTTTCTTTCTGACCCCTTCTACTTTCAATGCTGTTGCCACTCTCATCTCCATCATTGCTTCTGTTGTCACTTTCCCTCTTCTTTATTTTAGCTACTTGGTCTCCCTTCCTTGATACCTTCTAATTTCCTTCATTCTTTTATTTTCTTGAATTTGATGTATCTATTATCCTATAAAATTTCCGTTGTAACTGTTCAACTATCTATGTTGGATGAAACTGCGTGGTACAGTGTATTGGTGGTCTTCCTGTGGGTTCACTTCTATGGAAATGGAGGGCTCACCAACGCCCCTAAGATACGGATCTAAAAAGCTATTATCCTCAGCTATTATTAGATCCAGTGCTGTCTTGATTTCTCCCCGCCTAGTCTGATGTAGTGAACCCTCTCGGAAAGATTCACTTAGTTCACCTAGATTCACTATGGTTAGGGTTGGTCCTAAGAATATTCTCCAGTGGCTTCCTTCCAGAACCTTGATTGTTTCCATATGTGGTTGCTCTGTTCCTATTTTGTTATGATAAATGGACTTTTGAGCTCGAATACTGTTTATCTTGCATGTTTTAATTTTTAAAAGTTAGAGAAATTGTATATTTAGAGTTTTTGTAGGATCTTATGAATATTAATGAGAAGTAAATCAATGGGAGCAACCTCATGAAAAAACTGCACATCATTTCTCCATATGCCGAAGATCGATCACTGTCGGATAGTTATTTTCACTTTTTCTTCAAATTTTGTGTTACGATACTTTCGCATGCAGATGCAGGTAACATTAAAATTTCTACATCTCGAAATATAGTTTTAAAACTCAATTGCTCCTCCATGTTATTATCGGCCGCAACTTGTGGTTGTTTAGAAATTGCACCAGGGGAACTGGGACGTTATTTTTTTAATAGTTTCAGCAAAATAGCTCTTAAATGATAATATTCATAAGTATTAATTGTTGTTGTTATGTTTCATTTTCATTATCATATCTCATCAGAAAATTGATAATTTGAAATGAGTTTACAATAGGTACTCCCCAGCCTGGGAGTGTGTGAGATATGAAAGGAAATCGTAATGATTTTCCTGATAATAATGAGATGGTAAAGGTGCATATAGAATGAGAGTTGAAAAGTTAACTATTAAAAATTGTTTTGATGATTGATTGATTGATTGTATATTGTTTAACGTCTCTCTCGAGAATTTTTCACTCACATTGAGACGTCACCGTATGCCGTTTAAAGGCTTTAAATTTAGACCTTTACTCGGCACTCAGGGCCATTGAGCAGCAGGGTTCTTTAACGTGCCAACGCCTACCGTGACAAGGGACCTACATTTTTAAGGTTATATCCGAAAGACCCATGAATTTCACTTCGAGTACCGAGCGCTTGGCGAAGGAACATTCACCACCTTTGTTTACGTCTTAGGAATGACGCGACGCCGCAAACGAGAATCGAACCCCGGGCCTCTCGATCACAAAGAATGCGCTCTACCACTAGGCTACCGTGACCTGTTCGTTTGAATGTGCCACAGCTGCGAATGACCCAAGGAAAATTTTTACAACGCGCTTTGCAACATAGCCTATTCTGCAGAAAGCATGTCACGCGACAAAGAACCAGGGAATCAGCACGTGTTCATCTTGAGAGGCCTACATCTTCATTTTGATGACATTTATCATTGACATTATTACACAGATTAATCCATTTGATGAGCAAATGCACTAAAATTCGCTTTCTATTTAAAATTAGAAAAATAAATATTAATTTTGCTTTGAAGATAGCCTTAAATTAAAAAAGATCAATGTTTCAGCTTTGAATATCCTGTGCTTTCCTTGTGTGGATGCTTTTAAAATTGTAAAATTGCCTTTTGAAATGCTAAAATTTGTTTGCGGCCGATTTTATGCTTTGCATAAGTTTTACTTTTTGTAATATTTTTCTTTGGATGAAAAGGTTAAATGTACTTTCAACTACAACAAACGATATTCATATATAAATATCACTAAACCTTTTAAAAATATTGTTCTACATTGAATCTTTGTTTTTGATGACACACTAATCATTTTTTAAATTCATATTTGAACTAGATGCTGTCATGAGACAGTAATACCCGCACTATGGTGCTTGCCTCTAAATATACACTCATTCATATTGGACTTTCCAAGGAAGAAGTCAAAATAATTCTATAATTATCACCGTACATGTATTCGTCAAATTGAACATAAAATTTTCAGATGACCATATCAACTCTGAGCCTCACATATGTATTTTAAAATACTTAATTCATAACCAGTCTGAAATAACAGAATTTAATTAATGATTGAAGTAAATTACTTAATTAGATTCAAATAAATAATTTTCCCATAATTTGGAACTTTTCAAATTTACTTTCTCAACGACATAAAATATTATTTTAGTACAAAGCATTTTTGATGAATTTATCAAAATGTGCAAACTGATTTTAGTATTTGGTCGGGAAAAAAACCCATTGAAAATACAACCCGATTGATTTGTCAATGCCTATCCCCCCCCCCCCCCCAACACACACACACACACGCTCTCTCTCTCACTCTCACATTTTAAAAAAAAAACATAGTTTAGTTTATTATGATAGTTTGAAATTTGTTCTTGTACTAAACAGTTTTATTTTCTACATTCACATTGGGTTTGCGTCACCCATTATCATATTTATAGATATCACCTCTCGGCACACCTCGGCCAATTCATACTGGCAACGGAATCAGCAAAGGTTTGTCGAATGAGATTATTTAGCACATGTATGCTGACGATGCAGTGTGGTCAGTTAAAATCATTTGTGTTTTAATTGGATTATATGGATTATATTTCATGAATTCGTTGTCACGACCTATGACATTCGGTAAGTACAAGATTTAGTATAGATTGCATAAAAATAAATAAATGCAAATGGTTAGGTTGAAGTTCAAAAAGGGTCAACATGGTCAAAGATCATCGCATGCCACAGTCGACAAATTTCACATTGTCAAGTTATCTCCCGTTGCGGACATTCAGTATATGGGTCATTTTCAAAAAATGTCCAAATTCCTGTTATACAAGCTTTTTTGAAAATATTGCAATAAAATCGAATTTTTTTTTTACCCGATGAATTTAACATCAATCTATAAGTGTAGAAAAATTAAGTGCGATTAAAAATTGACTTGAATACTGAAAAAAGTCCTTCAACCTGAGTTAAATTAGAGAGAATTGCTTGTGATTTCGCCAGATGTTTGACTTCAACTCTGATTATTGATGTAGTAAATATAATTAAGCAGTGTAAAATGACCTTTATTGTGTTGTACATGTTTAATACTATCTAAATACATGCTAAAATGTGATTGAAAAAGAGTAAGAATATGATTTTTTAATGGTAAGTGTGTGTTATTTTTGCCGTGTCCTTGGAGTAACCAGGACATAAAAGTTATCTGTAACAGTTATCTTTCCTAAAGAAACTCTTCACTATCAGCCTCCTTCTTTTGATCTTGTTCCCGCCAAAATATCATGAGACACTTAACACAGATCTTTTATACCATAGGCACAATATGTGGTTGAAGGCAAGTTTGATTGCAATAGTAATTTATTTTTGAGTCCTAGGAGTTACTTAGATATTGTGAGGATAAATTCATTTACCATTTCTTTGATGCATTGAACAAGTTTATAACAAAATACCTATCATCTAGGAGCTGTGCTTTATGTTCATAAGTCAGCTATAAGTCAGCTATTGCTTTTATGATTCCAATTATGTATATAATAATTCCCTGGTGTTACTGTCCATTTTGTTACTGCAAGAAAACTTACTCTAAGGACGCATCTAATAACTCCATGGACAATTTACATAGAAAATAATTAAAAAGAATGCAAGTTGGAGTCGTATGTTTTGTTTTCTATGTTTTATCTCGACCTCAATCTGCACGCGACATTACGTCACAGGCCTAGGTCCATCGTAGACGGTTCAAACTAATCAGAAAGTACGAAGGAGATGGTTGCATTGGAAAGTCAAGCGATGTTAAACGAGTGTGCAATTGTATTTGATGGATTAATTTAAGCAGTATGAATATTTCAAAAAACCATAAGGTACTGGAAACCTGGATCCGTCCGCAAAATGATCCGCTTCATTACAGTTACTATGGATATGGTTGAATGTCCGGAGGAAATCCGAATGGAGTACCATAGCCACAGGTGTCAAAATTATGGAATGCATTGTGAAAAAGTCCGAATGCATACTTGTATATAATACGAACATGCATCAGTATGCATGTAACTCAAGGAACCCAGGAAACAGGTACTTTTAAGAAAATCATCGAACTGCGCGTGTTTTCAATATCGTCAGATTTAAATTATCTGTTTTCATTTGAATATACACGTTTTTCGTGAAATTCTGTGTATTGTTTTTATTTTTTGTTTAAAGCAGTTAACTAATGAGTTTACATGTATTTCTCTTGAAAATGGTTTTCACGTAATTCAGGGATGGGCCGATTACATTAAAAAGTAATTAATCAAATTACAATTACTTTGACTTTCTCTTCAATTAAATTACAGGCTTCATAAATCATGTAATT